GTAAATCCCACACCCCACTTCTGCAATCTATTTCCTGCAGGATGTGGCATGCACGTAGGGAGGCACTTCGGGTTCGAGGCAGCTCCATTGCTGACCTTTTTCATTGTTGGAAGAGTCTCGTCACCTATCAAGTGCTGTATCGATAGATTCGTAAACAAAGCTGTTTGAATAAACGCCAGAAACTTGAAAACATCTTGCTTGAAGATGTAGACCTTGCATTCCGGGGACAGATGTACGAGTGGTATAGGAAAATCCGACAACTTTGTCCAAAGCAGCCCAATAGGAAGATCCAATTGTTTGATGATCATGACATGCCTTTGCACCCGGCACAGGAGATTCAAGCAATTGAACCCGGATCACACACCACTTACCCGCTTGCCCTTCGACTGCCAGGATGTGATCGACGAATTGAGAGCCTTGCCCCGGATGAAAGCCTTGGCACCGGCTGGTTTTCCAGCCTTGATTTGGAGGAATTTTGCCGATGTGCTAGCGCCCTATGTATATCACACATTTGAGCACTGTTGACTTGGAATTGTACTCTCCCCACCTCCTCATTGGACAACAGGTTGGATTCATCTTCTTCCTAAGCCAAATAAGGCTCCTTCCCGATCCCAGGCACTTCGACCTATTTGTCTTCAACATCCTGTCAATAAGCTAGCCGCAGGTCTTCAGTGTAAACGCCTGATGCAGAACACGTTTTCCACCCTATTTCAACTTCCGTTGTATACTTACTTGCCCAGCCGCGGCATTCGAGACTGCCTCCTGTTCGTAGCCGCACACTGCAGACAGGTGCGCGATTTGTGCCAGAATTACCGGTCCAGACCAGATGCCCTTGGCCTTCAGGGAGGTTTGCAAATATCTTTGGATATGGAGAAGGCCTTTGACACGGTCGATAGGAAACTCGTACTCTCCTTTTTCGCATTAGATTCTGACCTCCTGAAGTTGGTGCAATTCTGGTTGGCCCCTCATAAATATTGCATTCCTTTTAAGCAGCTAATTGGACAAGTGACGGCCTGGTATTAAACAGGGCTCAAAAGATGCCCCTTTGCTTTAGACCTTGGTCATGAGCTACATCCTGTTGGATTTAAAATCTAGGTTTTCCTTGTCTTGGCTCCATGAACACATAATCATATATGCCGACGATGTTCACCTTAGATGGATAATCAACTCACATCCACAAGCGTTAAATGCTCTTATTGAATTTCAACATATGTTGGATGTCTTGAAAACTTATGGATTCCAAATAAACATGACCAAAAGCGTGGCCATTATGCGGCTAATTGGACGTGAAGCACCTGCCTTCCAACGTCGTTGGGTCCATCGACAAAGGGATGGTCCCTTCCTTCGACTGCCAGAGAATCACTGGCGCCTGCCGTTAATGTCCAAAACCGCCTACCTTGGAGTGATCATCAGTTACCGAGCCTAGGATTACGATACGACTGCAAGGAGAATTATTGCCGCCCAATGGTGCTTTCGAACTCTTCGCAAGTGGCTCACCAGCGCGGTACATCCACTATCCACCAGGTTCCGTTAGCTATGATATTCATGAAATGGGAATCACAAGGAGAGGTCTCACGAGATTGGTCAGCATGATCAATACACATCATAGAACCATGGTTAAATTCCCGGTTTGTTTGACTCATGAATCGATTTTGAGCTTTTTCATTCGATTTCAATTCTCACCACCGTGAATCATGCTCCAAGAACAACAAGCACGCCTCAAACAGGCCTTACAGAAGCGCAAAATCCGATTGCTAAGTGAAGCCATGATGGAATCCACACCTGATGTCTGTGCACTGACCCCAGATGTATGGTTTAGTGATCTTTCCATGCCCACAGATACACCTGCTGTCCCGCAGTCCCAGGAAGTAGCTTGTCCTGAATGCCATCGCACCTTTAAGTAGGCCTGGGCCTTGAAACGACGCATAAGAACGTATCATGACACGCCATGTGAAACCGAAGATCTTTTTCTGCCTCTTAGGGATGCCTGACAGGGTCGTCCAATTTGTTCACACTGCGCTCGTTCCTTTGTAGATTTTTATAGACTTCGTGATCATATAAACAAGAAAGCGTGTATGGCCTTCAATGTGACGCAGGATTCGATTACATCCATTGTTATTCGTGAAGATTTGAGGATGCACCTACGACATAAGTCCATCCCTGGACTACTCCTCAATCAGGCCTTGATGACTGAATTTGCTCAGCATTGTGCGTATTGCCATTCCCAAATAGCATCGCGATCGATTCGCAAGCACTATGTAGATAAACATGCACATTTGGCAGCTCAATATAAGGACCATGTTACAGGACTCGCAAACCTTGGCAGTGGCAGAGGTCGTTGCTACTTTTGTGATCGAGAATGCCGTGACATTCGCACATAATTGTGGTATTCTGTTTCAATTGTCTGCCTATTTTCCCATAATGCCGGTAATGATGAAACCCGTACGAGTTGGTCGAATAGACCCACAGCCGCAGCACCGATCAATCCCGGCCCCATCACAGCCGCCGGACTCAGGTACGATTCCGAATTTCTCCAATTGCCCACCTAAACCAGAACTTGTGACGGAATCTGAATGCAAAACCAGTGAACCGAGTCAAACCAAACCAGCCTTGTTTGCCTACACCATTTGCCATAGTCAATTCTTGACGCCGGTTGGATTTGAAAAGCATATGCACTTGTATGCCAGATCAGCTGTCCCAGACGATGTGACCAGTCACCGGGCCCTCAAGGCCCCAAGACTTGACACAGTGAATGCGGTCCTGGCCCGCCCTGCAGGGGACATTCCTTGTCCACCCAAAAGCTTTCGTTATCCGCTCTATCAGGAACACATTAGGAAGAAGGGCTTGGCTAGACATCTCAGAAAGAATCATCAGATTGACAAGCCACCATTCTTCGACTTTCAGCCTAGTAGAGACATGCACCCGGATCGATTCGAGTAGCTTCACCACTGAGGCTACCATTCGCCTTCATTACCAACGTGCCACGTGCCCGGCTTTGCTAGTTGAATGGGTCCAAAATCAGCATTTTGGAATTGGAAGCACTCCCACGAACCCGAATCCGCAACCGGATCTGCAAGCATGTCGTGGACAGATCGCCTGTGAATTCGACCTGCAATGGAGGCCTCCGTTGAATCAACCTAGAATTGGGGATCCTATGGGTCTTTACATTCCACCGACAGCACCTGCATGGCACCCGACCATGATGGCTAACATGCTTTTCGATCAGAGCTCAACTTTGTCCCTGTCTGACACTCCGGTCTTTTGGCCTGACCTTCGATTGAGATGGTATACGACCTTCAGTTGATCTCTTGCTCACATTCATCACCTGCCTCAGGTTATTTTGCCTGACACACCGCATTTCCAGCTCCTGACTGCTTGCACCACGGTGCACCCTGTCTACTGGGCTTGGATCACGAGAAGACCCTAAAGCCCACCTCGAAGGAACCCATCTCATCCGAAGAGCCTTCCAGGATGATTCAAAGGATTCATCAATTAGGTGGACAGCAGGACCTAATCCATCGTTTCTCGGCTCTGAAACCGCTTCAGGCCGACCTGCTGGTCAAGCAGACGACAATAATGATTCCATGGAGATTGGACCTTTCACTTCGGCCTCTCAGGAGATCTTCGATCTGTTGACCAAGCTGACAGGCAACGGACTGACACAATTAATCTTCCTCAGACTGAGACCTTCGACTCTTCAAAGGTCTCCTCTGGCTCAAGCAGTGGCCCACTGCTTGAAAAGATGAGGTTGGCGTTATTGCAATTGATTCTTGGTAATGAGGACCATGATTATTATGTCAATTCGGTCGTAATGGTTGAGCTTTGGGGATGCTGCATGGACAGCAATTTTGGGTGGCAAGCCTTGGGTAACTGGAACATACCCCTTCAAAGGGTTCTTAACCAGGGTTCAATTGTGCAATGGCTCACGGACCATGTTATGTTGGGACCACGCCTTGCTCCATGGTTTGCGTTTCATGAAAGGGATGAGTAGCAAGACGCTGCTGAGTTCACGGGATGGTTAAGACCAGCCCTCCACCATGGAGTCAATCACGAGTTATTCAATGCGTTTTGATAGGAAGCCAAATTAAAGCAATCCGTTAAGGACCGGAATTTGACTTTTGCACCGATCGTCTTGCAATCTGATTTTCCTTTGCAAAAATTAATTAAATTTTAGTCGATCCAATCCCCCTTCCAATATAATATAGATAAATTCCATGGATCATCAATATTTATTTCCAAATAAATCGCTTTCCCACCATCGGAATTCGATTCAAATCCAAAGTACAATAAAATAAACAAAAAGTTTTTCTTCCAATGTTTGTATATAACAATAACTAAATCACATGCTAATCGGAATTCACGATCATAATAACCGTCCTTCACCGAAGTAATCTACCCTCCTACGAGCATTACCAAAAGATTTTACATATAGACGGAAACGATTTTTAAACAAATAATCAACATTCCTATCGCGAATCCCCACCTTCCAAAAATAGAAATTAATACATACCTATTTTACCTTATCGTCAAATCAAACCTAACACCTATTTTCGGAAAGATCGTTAAGCCTAAAAATCCTTTCATTCCGATTCAATACGCATAATACCGCCCGAGCAACTACTCGCGAAGCAGCCAATCGTTCGTCGAATGCAAGCCCAACACGAGCTAAAAACACTCAGCCGGCCGAGAATAGTAATATTAATAATATATTAAATATAAAATATATAAAAAAAAATCCAATATCTCTGACGTTCGGTCGCTCGGGCGCGGCGTGAGCGGCGCCGCGAGCTGCGTGTCCGGCCGCGAGGCGGCTCAAGTCTCTGAAAAGGGGCGAGCAAGGTCAGCCGCCCTCCTAATGGGTCGAGATGATGTCCATCTCCGCAAAAGCCGACGACCAAGGTCGAAATGAGAAGGGTTCAAATCGATAGGAATATCAAATATAGGGGTATGGATACCAAGACCAAGCAAAACACCCGAGGGAACCCGAACAAAATCGACGTCCAACTAACGACAGAGATCGATAAGAGCAACCCTAACCATATCGACCATGGTGGTGACCGTCGGTCGAACAAAAAGGTCCTGTACCTGCCTCATGACTCTGCGGCCTCCAATTTCTTCAAAGGGAAACAAGCCGGAGTCAACGAAAGCGTAAAGAAAAACGAATTCGAGAAAGCTACAAACGGTTCTACGGTTATCAGTACCTCCGCGGCGGCGCAGCCAGCCGACCAGCTCCTTGTAGAAAGCGGGCGGCAAACGGCCTGGCTCCCCCTGAAGGTCTCCTGTCGTCGCCAGTGCAGTTGTCAGGGTAGGTGGAAGTCCTGAGTCGGTGTCGCTGGAAATGACAGTCTCAATGGGCTCTTCTTCGGTAGTTCGCAAATCTCCTGCAGAAACAATGAACTGCAACAAATGTTCTTGGCGGTGTCGCCAGCAAATATCGTAAGCGGCGACCCGTTCAAACAATACCAACACTTGTGAAGGACGGTTGGAGTTCATGTATCCAACAATTCGATCTGCAACATCGTTCCACTTGCGAAGCCAATCTTCAAATGGCGATTCGTAGTGCCTTTCATCAAGGGGACTGGGCACCCAATAGAAATAAAATTATCTAACTTCTAAGGCATCCAGGGCTGCGCTAAGCCCCAGCCAAAGGTCCTGGTGCTCCCATGTGTGTGGTATGACCCCCGTGTTCTGCACAAAGGCGGCCCCAAATGCAATATGCTAGGAATCCGACCACCCATAAATTTCACCTTGTGTTTCAAGCAATCCCCATCTAACCGTGCTCACAAGGGCGGCGAGCTCCGCCCTACCCATCGATTGGCATGGACCATAAAAAGGGGCTCCACAAATGACTTGACCCGTAATAGCACTCCCCGAGGCCCATGCAAAGTGAGCAACCCGGGATTATTTATATTAAAAATGAATTCCATCCGTAAAAACATGGTTTTAACCAAAATATAGTCTAGACCAAAATTCAGTCGTATAATTTAACAATGCATCAAAGTAAGCAGCGAATTCGGTCACCAGTGCAACTTATAACAACAAAACATAATTTTTTAAAAGAACGGGGCCAAAAATCAAAATAAAAAAGATGGCTCTAAAAGGTCCATTAAGGCAAATCAAAAAGGAACGTCAAAACCAATATTCAAATATATCAAAGCACTAACAATAATAACACAATCGATCAATAACAACATCATACCTACCGAATTTCGCATTGTCAATATAATACCCGCTCGACATGGCCGACAACTATCCTCTCTCCAAAAAAGAAAATGAATCTATAAAGTTCCCGATGTGCCCAAAAATCAATACCAAATAATCGGCAATTTTACGATTACGAAAGCCTTATACAACACGCCAAGCCCATGCATCCAATAAACGATCCTACCAATGCCAACGAACCTTAAATAAAGACCATTCAACCTACCGATGGTCTAAAATCCTATCTACGCTAAAAAAATTCCAACCAAAATACGATATTATTTCAAATATCTTAGAAGGAAAAAAATCCAATAAAAATATAAATCTAATTAATAAAATAATGATAAATAATATCAAACAATAAATCAAACAATATATATTAATTTAATATAAAAATATATCAATATATAATATTCAATAAATATTCAATGAATAATATTATTAGAAAATACAAAATCGTGGTTCTATTGGACGTAAGTGATTTACGATCGTATGCGGCGAATCCAGGAATAGGGAAGGTATTAAGATGTGGTTTGAGACCTTGCAACCTGAACCAAGGGATTTATTCAAATTCATTAACATCCGATTCACATCATCGCTCCGCAAATTGCGCTGTCTGTGAAAGATGAGTCTGTTGCAAGGAAAAATCCAACAGTGCAGGAGGGCACGAGGTTGCAATGTGGATGGAACTAGTTTTTCTACTCTCAGCCTTTGCGGGTTTAACACGACCGCCAAAAGCAAGCGGTACCCGTGGGGCGGGGGAGAGTTGAAAAACCGGCTGCCAAGTGCACATCTCTCAAAAGCTGAATAAACATGACGGAGGAACGTGTTGAAAACCCAAAAATCAGATTTGACCATAAGAAATAGAACAATTAGTGCTGGATATGCAAAAAATGACCTGAAAAAGAGAAACTTGACATCAAATTCTGTCTCAAAAGGTTGGACATCTGTCCACTTTCGAGGCTCAAATTCATGTATATTTTGTTGGTCGCGTCCCACCTTTAACATAGTATTGAAGAAATAACGTAATAGTTGAAGGAATATTATTGTATATGTTAAATTCGCATGTACCGAACTCCATGAGGCATTGGCCCTTGTAAATCGCAAAGGGGCTCTTCCATGGCTTCCTGCAAGAATCATCTATTTTCATCGAATAGCGGATTCGTTGGATCTAGGGTTCTGGCTCCATGCAAACCCGTAATGAGCCTGACAGTGCAAAAGTGCCAGCAAAAAGCTGGGAAACATTGTGGGATTATCAAACGATAGCATCAAAACCACTAGTTGGTTAAACAATGCTAAACGTTATGAAAGGCGGTCGGAGTCAATCAAGCCGTGGTTGCTCCACGCGGAGCTTGGTGCAGGCCCACGTCTCGCTCCTCCCCTGCAATGTGTGAGTGTTGAACTTCACAGCTGTCACTGGGGACAAACAAGCCCGCTTGGCATGTGCAGCCTGAACATGTTGAAAACGCATTGTTACCAACGCCACGCCTTGGTCCAACTAGGATACTAGGAGCAAGGACGCTACTAGAGGCTCCTGGCCGTACTACTAGTAGCGTCCTTGCTCCTAGTAGTAAGGCCAGGAGCCCCTAGTAGCGTCCTTGCTCCTGGTAGCGATGCCAGGAGCCCCTAGCAGCGTCCTTGCTCCTAAGTGAACGAACTGTATTCCGCAATCTTGTATGGGTATTCTGGGGACAAAACTGCCAGTCTTGTGGGAAAGGACCAAGCGTGGATTCCACGGTCGATATCCTTGCAGGACTCCAATCTGGGGGTCAGAATGTATGTGAGGAATCTGGCAAAAGGTTAAGGGGTATTTCTACTATCAAAAACACAAAACCTCTTCCAGTCCTTCGGAAGCTATCTCTGCACCCAAGCTATTGAGGCGGTCTGCCTTGCGCATTCGACGAGTCAAAGTTGCAACTCCAAATCGCTGGACAGTATGGCCTCTGCCGGAGGATGAACGTACGAAAATTCCATGACCTCAGTTTGAACTCTCTGCTTTCTGAACCACCTCGAAAAATGTCGCTGCGAACAAAGTCCTTTGAGGGCCCGACTTGATCGGTGTCTCCCGCCTGATAGCAGCTAGCAGTTACCGTGCTAACATACAGCAGAACTCCAAGCAAGCTCATGCACTTCGCACAGCTTCATGTGCAATCCATACTAATTTGCAAATGCAAACTTCATGTGAGCCTCTTGGCTAGAGAATGAAGAGCCTGGCACAGGCCGAAAAACAAAGGTGTCAAGCTGAGATTCAAACGAATTTGTACAGCTTGCCGGCACCTTCCAAACGATTCGCGGACTCCATGGACTCTTGAAGAGTTCTTGACCTGGATGTTCCAAGCCAAGCTGGTATGACTTGCCTTGCTATCCCTTGCCATGGTTTGCCGCTATTTCACTGCATCCTGCATGATGAATGAGTTAACTGATGTGAAAGTAAGCCTTTTGGATAGAATTTATATAAACGAATGCTAAATGTGATACGCAAAATAGGCGGCAGGCCGGATGAGCTTCTCAACAATGCCGGCCAATGCCTAGTAGAAAAGGAATGTGTGTGGGTCTTTCTAATAAGGGGGCCAAACACCATCGTGTTTTTTTCGTGTCAAGAGAAATGAGTCTCATAAAGATAGGCAAGAGAGGTACTTGAGTCCAAGACCCAAGACCTAAGGCAACTTGACCACCAGAGTTGCTTCTAGTAAGGGAGAAGTTCGCTACTAGCTACTTAAGCTACTAGTGTGGACGCAGGATAGCTCACGCTTCTTCAAGGAAGCTCCCCCCGCCGCTAAAGGCGGCGACGGTGAAGAAGCGCTCGCACTAATGATTTGGTTCCTAGTAGCGTTCTTGTTACTACTAGTAAGGCACTTGTTACTAGAAGCGATGCACTCGTTACTAGTAGCTGCTTGCTCCTAGTAGCGATGCCAGGAGCCCTTACTAGCGTGCTTGCTCCTAGCTTAACTTTCAAATGCAGGTTGTTCTTGGACATAATTGATCTACTACATTTGCCAACAATGCCATAATGTGTAAACGGCTCTTTGTAAATGACAATGTTTTGTGCATATAGGTGCTCAGGGATTCAACTGCCTGTGAAATGCGGGTATCTACAAGTTTGCGAACCTTCAATGTGTGGGTCCCCCTCAAACAAGTGATTCAAGTGATGGCAAGTGGTAGTTATATATATATATATGTGAAGGTGAGCATAGAACCGTTTGTGTTTGCAACTCTGTCATGTCTGTGGCAAGACTGGTTGCCTGCTCCTTTGCAGCCCATTCTGCCGCATACTCCACCTCCATACCATCCATACCCACCAAGAAAAAATGAGAATCAGCTGTGCAAGTTCCACACAATCCTCACCTCCGACAAATGCTCAACGTCGAAAAATCGTTCCAATCGCTGAGCCTGCTGGCAAAAGTCAACACAGCCTTCCTCGAGCTGTCATCTTCTAAAAACTTCTAAAGCAAGTCATCGCATATCGAACTAATGAACTGTAATAAATACAGTCCCTTGTTTAAGTGATTTCCCGGCCTCCTCCTCTTCATGTTTTACTTCTTCAGGAGTCCGAAAGTCCAGTTGCACTCCAGACACCTGAATTTCAAGTAGTAGAAAAAGCAACCAGTGTAACAACACGGAGTAAGTAGTCAAAGAATCTCTCCTGGACCGTGTGAACATTTGCGTAAAGTCTGTGGCGCTTGTAAAGCGACTTGGTCAGTTCACAACTTCCCATGGGAGGGGGCGAAGCATTTGTACTGCGGAAGCTCGATTTGACCAAGGCATACTCCTCAAAAACTCTTAGCTCGAGAGCTCATGTGTGTGTTTTGCCAACAAATATACTCACGGACTGGAAGTTTGGAAAACGACATGTTTGACGATACGCCGCCTCCGATAGTTAGAATGCGACCGCACGGCACAGAGTTAGAATGCCTTCCAGGAATCCCGGCAACACACGCAATGATACAGCAGTTTTTTCCAATCAAATAGCGGCTATTGTATTCTGAGGATGACTGCTTTGGGGCAATCTCATCACAGGAAAAACAATATAATGTTGACTTAATTGAGTCTGAAAGAATAAAATGAAGTCAAAAGAAATTCAAATGAAATCGAAAGGGATTAAAAGGAAGTCAAACGGTAATATAAGGAAATCAAAAGGAATTAAACAGGTATCACAAGGAGTTGAAAAGTAATCAAAAGGAAATTCAAACAAAATCAAACAGTTCCCCACTTTGCGTCCGAAACAAGTCATGGGGAGGGGGAGGGTGACCACCCCCCGCCACCAAAGGGGGGAGAGGATGACCCCCTCCTTGTTCCAAACCTCCTTGTCCAAACCTTCCTGTAGGGTCACCAACCCTCCCCCTCCAAACATTTCCCCTACCTCCTGGAGATGCGCCAAAAAAGGTTTGGAAGAGTTTTGCAAGACCCCATATCGTGGCTATTGGGGAATCAAAAGCGATTCACAGGATATCACAATGAATTAAAAGGGAATCAAAAAATGAAATCAAAACAAATTAAAAGGACATCGAAAGGAATTAAAAGGAAATCAAAGGGACTTAACATGATATCAAAATGAATTAAAAAGAAATCAAATGGAATTAAATTCAAATCAAAAGGCACTAAACAGAAATCAAAAGGGATTAAAGGATATCACAAGGAATTAAAAGGTAACCAAATGGAAATTAAAAGGAAGTGAATTGAAGGAAAATCAAAAGGTACCAAAAGGAAATCTAAAGGAAGTAAAACGAAATCAACGGGAGTTAAAAGGATATCAAAACGATTTAAAAATAGATCAAAAAATAAACGGAAATCAAAAGGCATTAATCATTATATAAAGGGCAATCAAAAGGAAGTAAAAGGAAACCAAGAAGGATTAAAAGGAAATCGAAAGAAATTACAAAAAGGAAACCAAAAGGATTTACGCTAAAAGGAAATCAAAAAGGAAGTACAAGAAAATCACAAGGAATTAGCATGATATCACAATGAATTAAAAGGGAAACAAGAAATTAAAATGAAATCAAACCGAATTAAAAGGAAACCAAAAGGAAAACAAAGGGACTTAAAAGGAAATCAAAAGGAGTTACAAAGAATTCAACAGTAAGTAAAAGTGATTTAAAAGGATTTAAATGGAAATCAGAAGGAATTCAAAGGAAATCAAACGTAGTTAAAAGAACGTCAAAAGGAATTAACTAGAAGTCACAAGGAGTTAAAATGAAACCAAAAGGAATTGAAGGGACACTAAAAGGAGTCACAAGGAACAAGCATTATTGCAGGTGGTGATAGTAATGAAGATTGAAAACATACAAAAATTACGAAAGAAACAACAGAACAAACATAAGAAGCAACTATAACATATAGTTTTGCTGGTGTAATAAACAAACATAGTTACATAACATAAGCCAAAATAACAAAAATAACTTTAAAAACTGCATATGAAACCATGAGATTGGAACATTGGTGCGTCCGTCCCATTCTAAGTGTTAAATTCCTCACTACGCGCAGCCGTTTGGGCCATGGATTTGACATCCCAAGACACCTCCAGGACGCATTCTAAGACTATTTTTCCTGCAGCCTGTGCATTCTAAGTGAACTTGTTCCCATTTTGCCGTGGTGCACCTACGATCTCTCGCCTCCGGCGTCTTTTGGGGGGCATTCTATTTTTCAGTTGGAATTAAACCGAGAGTTTTGAGAGGATGTAGAGAATGAAAGCATGCATCTCGCTTGTTGCTGTTCTTTTGAAGCAAACTGTACCCCTCGCGGCATTATTCTGCACACATCTCTTCTTGTGGAAAAGGGAACAAAGTACGAAAGTTCAATGCTGTGGAAACCGGAGACACTGGCGGGGAAGGCAAAGTGCGAATTACTGTTGCCCAAGGGAGCCGAAATGCGCATGGTGCTGAAAGTTGCAAACTGCCTTAAGTAAATGATCGAACTGAAGTAAATTTCTACAAGTTTGCGCGCCAATCCAAGATGACTCTTATTGTGTGTGTGTGTCAAAACCTGTTTCTAAGGCCTCACACCTTGTAAATTATTTCAAAACCACATATGTTTAAAGGCAGGGGGGATGGGGCAGAGAGGACTTGCAAGGCTCTGCACAACGAAGCTCTTTGCAAGACCCTAGGAAGCGGAAGTTGATCACTTCCGTGCACCTGCTCGTGACACTACCCTACTTTTCTCGCTGTCCTTTGATTCCATGGTCCTTGCACGATTGCTCCCTATTTTTTTGCTTTTTCCCGTTTGCTTTGAAACCAACTGTTCAAACACCTTCAAATTTGCGGACTCCATCACCTTTCTGTTCTGGTCTCTTTCCGTTCCGTCGAGTCAAGGGCTAATGAATGTAAAGTGGAACTTCGTCAACTGATTTAGCTCTTGCGAGCATCAATCTAAGTGTGTGTCGCCACAGAGTCCCACTGAGGGCTGTGGTGTGATCCCCGTCGGGGGGCGCAGCATGTACACAGACCCGTAAAGGGGGATCCTCACTGATTGTTTCCAGTTTTTCACGTAACCTTCCAGTGATCCTTCGATGACTTCTCGTTCTGCTTGGATTTACTGATCGAATGTCGCAGGGCCTACTGAGATCGAACTGCCGAAAATCACCACATGATCACGCGCGTCATTCGACAAACGAAACAAACTTAGACATGTCCAGGGACTTCAAGAGAGTGTAAAATTAAAAAGTCGAAAGAGCAGCCGCGGAGAGGAGTAAGAGTGCTCCACCGGCCAAGCCTGAGGAGAGTGAGCAACGTGAGCAGAGGGCCAATAGGTAAGCAACTAAGTAATCGCGTTTGGTTCTTTTGGTTTTTCTCTCCTACTGTTGCTTTCCGTTTTTGATGCCTTTCTTAAGGTTTCAGGTAACCTTTTAGTCAAGGGAGCGCCGGTTACGGCAGTGCCTTAGAGCCCCCACCCCATCCTTGCATGCGAATTCACACCTCCTATTCCCACCCTCTAATTAGGGTAACAGAAGGAAGTCGCACTCAACACACTTGTGCGTTGGTGCCTTTCCTTCTGTTTCTCCTGTCCTAGTCTTTCCTACCCGGGCGGTCTAAGACTAAAGTCCCGCTCGCTAACTATTGCACTTAATTCATGCGGCTAAGTATTCAGTAACTAGAAGGTTTCGTAACTGGTGGGCCTCGTAACTACACCTAGCTTTCTCTCTTGCCCTGTGCGTTTTCTCTCTCTGTCTTTTCCTTTCTTTCTAAGGCTTGTTAGGTGCCTACTACACCTCTTGAGCGCCGGTATCGGCATGGTGTGTGTGTGTGTCACCCCCTGTCTCAAAGGGTTGCTCGCGTCCAATTCTGGAACACAAGCAGGGCCAGCGGCCGACAAGCAAACGCTGGCTAACAAAGCTATGCTTGTTCAGTGGATGCACAGTCTGATCAACTGTGTGTACCTGCGACCAACCTTTGCACAAGCTGTCACTCCACTTTCCTCGGTTTGGTTCATGGTTCTTACATGCTACCTTCCCCCAAACCCTGGGTTTCTGCAGCTGCACCGCGCTGCTCGTTTCGTCACCGCTGAGTTCTGCAGACACGAGAAACAACTTTTGTTCAAACACCTACAATTTCTTGAACTTTTCACCATGCCGTTTCCTCGCCTTCCTTCTCAACGTGGGAATTGAGTTAACAGCAAACCAATGTCAGAGTGTGAACCGCTCAGCCGTCCCACTTGGGCGCTGGGTGTGATCCTCCGCAAGGAGGCGCTGTTTTCACGCCGGAACTCGTGTAACTGCCTCGACCGTATCCACCAAACCTTGGATTTTCTTAACTGCCTTCTTTCCACCTTGAATTAACTGCCTTTTGAGCCGCCGGGCTTTCACGGAAAACACCTGCTGACACCATAGCCGCCACCCTAAAAACCGGAATTCCACCTGAGGTCAGGCATGTTTCCCAACCCCCCGAGTTCTACTCCCTACCTAATTAGGGTAACAGAGGGAAATGGTACTCGGCACACTTGTGTGTCGGTGCCTTTCCCTCTGTTGTCCCTTTTCTAGTCTTCTCTACCCGGGCGGTCTAAGACTAGAGTCCCGCTCCCTAACTATTGCACGTTATTCGCTTCTGCTAAGTAGTCAGTAACTCTAGAGTGCTAAGTATTCATACACACACACGGACACACACATGTATATACACCTCCCTGCCCCCCCCCCACTTTCCTTCTTGCGCTTTTGGTCGTTTCTTGGGCTTTCTCTCAGGCTTTTTAGGTTGCTCTTGAGGCTCGTTTCCCTACCCCAGTCAAGGGCTAAGTATTCACTTTTTCTACACCTACCTTTCTCTCTTGCCCTCTTAGCGCTGCTCTTTCTGTACTTCTTTTCTTTTGTTTCTAAGGCTTTTTAGGTACCTATTCAGGTCGTTCGCACGAGCGCCGCAAAGCGGCACCGTGTGTGTGTCACCCCCTGTCTCAAAGGGTTACTCGCGTCCAATTCTGGAACACAAGCAGGGGGCCAGCGGCCGACAAGCAAACGCTGGCTGACAAAGCTATGCTTGTTCGGTGGATGCACAGTCTGATCAACTGTGTACCTGCAACCAACCTTTGCACAAGCTGTCACTCCACTTTCCTCGGTTTGGTTCATGGTTCTTACATGCTACCTTCCCCCAAACCCTGGGTTTCTGCAGCTGCACCGCGCCGCTCGTTTCGTCACCGCTGAGTTCTGCAGACACGAGAAACAACTTTTGCTCAAACACCTACAATTTCTTGGACTTTTCACCATGCCGTTTCCTCGCCTTCCTTCTCAACGTGGGAACTGAGTTAACAGCAAACAAATGTCAGAGTGTGTCAAAGCTTGTTTCTAAGGCTTCAAAAACAACAAAATGGGGGCAGAGAGGACTTGCAAGGCTCTGCCCGACGAAGCTCTTTGCAAGATCCTAGGAAGCGGAAGCTGATCACTTCCGTGCACCTGCTCGTGACACTACCTACTTTTCTCGCTGTCCTTTGATTCCTTGCGTGATAGCTCCCTAAACTGTTTTTGCTTTTTCCCCTTTCATTTCATTCCTGCAGCTGCGCCGATGATCCGAGCTTTGAAACCAATTGTTCAAACAGCTTCAAATTTGCGGACTCCATCACCTTTCTGTTCTGGTCTCTTTCCGTTCCATCGAGTCAAGGGCTAATGAGTGTAAAGTGGAACTTCGTCAACTGATTTAGCTCTTGCGAGCATCAATCTAAGTGTGTTGTCACTACATCTACACGGCTAATGCTCTGTTGCGACGGGCGAAGCAACCCAAGGAACAAGGCGAAATAAGTATATAAACAAGAAAGCTTGTCATCACATTAAAACAAACTTGTCATCGGCCAATGTGTAGTCTAGTCTATAGGAAATGGTCGCCAGTCGCCTCAACTTCTAAGTTTCCAGCCACTGCCAGCCAAGCTGCCATGGCTGGCACCCACAAGAAGATCAGCTTCAAGGTGAGAACCGCGCCTGGCTTCGCCAGCGAATGGTGAAGGAAGTTGGAGCATCTTAGCAATTCAACCGGACTGCCTCTTCGCAGCCAGTAGAATTTTGGCCTCTGACATCATGCATCTGCTGAGATTATTCGATGTACTGCACTCAGACTATGCAGCTCACAAACGCATCCATTCTGCAGTTGTCCAAAACCCTGGGCCCCAGCTGCGGTGGCCCTTGCGACATTGAGGTGGAATCCCATCTGCCTTGGACACCATTCACGTCTGGCAAACCAGGCTGCATAAAGTGCAGCAAAAAGGTTCTGCGTATTTGAAATCTTGAGACATGAGAGGCCTCCTTGTCTCAAAAGCGTTGGATGAGCAAGGGGACTCCTCACTAAACATGGCCTCCAGCGCAATTTCTCCATTGCAAAGAAGTAGATGCTTGTGCTGGGGAATCGGGGAAACTGAACATACACAGGGGTGCTTAGGCATACAAGTGTGCCTGGCATGCTGCCGAAAAGCTGTCTGCGGAGCCTGAGGGCACAGGGCGGCAACTTTCATGATAGAATTCACTGCAAGCGACCGTGGTTAAATGGACACTGCTAATTTTCAGCAAGAAACCCAATTGCTTACCTTGCTTACCCTTTTCGCTGAGGAATTGACACGAATGCAGATGCGGCGCACCAAGGTCTTGGCCAGGTAAAGTCAGAGACGCGAACCAAGCAGCAAAAACATCTCTTTGGAAATGAACTGAACACAAGGTTGCAGAAAGACAATGCCTTGCTCAAAGACATCTCAGGGAGATCGCTTCACTTCTACATCTCGTGCTTGAAATCCTCACTGCGAGTTGCTACAAAACCATGATTGTGATGATTCTAGGACTAGTTGACTAGCTGAAAAAGACACAAATGCGTCAGTCTATGACATGTCGTAGTCAAAGCATGATGAGTTCACATCATCGTCTACTGAACACACTGTTGGACGATCCATGGGTCGTATTTCATCGAATACAGCTCAAACCTTGCGCTGCGGCTCTTGAGCGAAAAGCTAGAAACGAGCGATCCAGTGCGTGATAAGGAATGCAGCACTTGAGAACTTGAAACAAGTTTCCCAAAAGAGAAGCGAATAGAACTTATTCCCAAAACAGGATTATGATGAGTTGCATTCTTCAACAAAGCCTCCGAATCACCAAAAAGTCTGAGAAAGCCTTGGCATTGCTTTTCTGTCAGAACCCTTTGGAATGGAATTTGGGCATTCACCAGTTGCTTGGATCCAAGCCCTCAAAGGTACCAATGTTGAAAGGCTCATCTAAAAGGTTCACTCACTCCACAAAGCTCAAGGTGCAGTCAGTTTGAAAAGTTAAAGAGTGTATGACCCTGCATGAACCATTATTGGTCTTGAGTCTTGAGTCTGACTCATAACTCATATCCTTCAGTTTGGATGTTTATGCATCGAGCTTACTAATTATTGAATATTATTGAGCTTCTACAATCAGTGCAGGCCAGGAGGGGCAAGAGTCAAATCGAAGTCCTCCGAAGCTTTTGCGTATACCTGCGTGCGTCTCCCCAATCTCAGTCGCTTGGACTATTTGATATCCCCTTATGAACACCGCAAATGCAGCGCCTCGATATTTCTGCGCGGGGGATTGAAGGGGCTTGAATGGCCTCCACGGGGGAGTGCAGCTTTTGGAGGGCCTGTCTTTGGGCCCTTTCGCACTTCTGCCTTCGCCTCACTAGGCAGCTGAAGACTCTTCCGAATTTCTAAGGAAGCTTTGGCTGATCTCCGCAGTTGTTCCGCAGCAGCTCTTCTTGCTTCAGCTTCAGCAAGGACCTTTGGGGCGCGCGCTTTGGCTTGGAGACGGATTTTCGACATCAGTTGTTCCCGAAGCTTTCTGGCCTCTCTTTCAAGTTGAACCAGCCACATTTGTTCACGATCTGCAAGTGTAGCCTCCGCCTCCTGTTGCTTCATCGGTTCATTCTGAAGCTCTTTCTGCAATTGCCTCTCTTCAATTAGCTTGTTTCGATAAGGTGACTGCTGCATTGCGTCACTGCGGGAAAGTTCCTGGCAAATCTCATCCAATTTTCGAGCCGCGTGTTCTTGCAACCTCACTCTTTCTTGCAACTCAGCTACAATTGCATGAAAAGAGTGAGACTTTGCCTTTATGCAAGTGAGGGCTTGCAGAATATCGCAAGAAACCTCAAGGCTCGTTTGCTCTTGCCAAAGCCTCTCAGCTTCTGCCGCACAAATTCGAAGTTCCTGGAGATCCCGAATTGGGGAGGTCCTTTCGAAAGGAACCGAACCAAGTGGGCGCGAGTGGTCGTCACAGTTGCCATCATCACGGAGATCACTCGGCTGGCCTACTTGGCCTGTGGATCTTCTTTCACACACAGCTGGTTCTTCAGCCTGCTTGATCTTGTCCGGGCGCATGAACTTGGCACCAGCTGAAGGCAGCGCGGACAACGGTTGATGAACAATGATGCGTTCTGAGACTTTGTCCAAGACGGCTACTTTGTCCTCATCTTTTTGCTTGTCATGGCCCTCAGAGCTCCTTGCCATTCCCAGATTTCCTGCATTGCGAGATATAGCGAGGCTTTTGGCGTCTGAGCCTTCGATGTCTTGGGACGTGAGCTTGTATGGTCTGTCCGTCTGATCAGCATCTTGCGACTGGAGGTTTCCAGCCGTTTCTGGCACTATGTAGGCAGAAGATGGGGTACAAGGTATTGAGTGTTTGTCACCATTGTCCTCAAGAAGTGCATCGATATCTTCAATATCCTCGTCAGAATCAGATTCACACGAATCTACATCCTCGCTGCTTGGTACATCTGATATCTTCGATATCTCTTCGCTTTGGAGGCCTGGCTGCGCGTGAGCAGCACTTGACTTCGCTTGACTAGCGGAAGCAGGTGCTGCGGGTGCGAATCTTGCTTTGGTTTCTTCGATGTCTGGCCTGATGGTGTCAGGCTGCTCGGCACAAAGAGTCCTACTTGGTCCTTGTGTTTTGTATTCGCAAAAAAAAAACAGAAAGGAATGTAAATGGCTTCTCAGGCCACTTTCAAAGGGGACCTTACACACCGTTTACCTTCTTTTCTTTTTCCTATGGTCCTCCTCCCTGCTTTGCTTTGCTTTTGCATCCAGCCTGCTTGCACAAACATCTCTATGAATGCTGATCGTGTCCTGTCGCAGAAAGAACATACAGGAAACAAAAAAAGGAAAACATGAGAAAAGTCTCTTGCCTCAGCGGCCACCTTTACTAGTAACAAGGGCATCGCTACTAGTAGCTCCTGGCATTACTACTAGGAGCAAGAAGCTATTAAGAACAAAGGGCATCGATCGCTACTAGGAGCAAGGAAGCTAGTTGGGCAAAAGTCTCTTGCCTCAGCGGCCACCTTTACAAAAGAAGACTGCAGGACGGTTAACAAGCGCGGTCTTTTGCAGTCTCCTCCGCTGCTCTGGAAGCAGAGGAACCTCTGCTGGGTCAACCGTTCACTTGCGACCACACTTTTCAAATCACTTGCGACAACACTGAGCACAACTTTTTTGTAGGTCACTTGCGCCGACAACAGCATCACCAGCATCATGGGTGGTGTAGGTCTGATAAGTTTGTCGCAAATCCCTACGCACAAAGCATCAGCATCATGGGTACGGTGGAGTGGTGTGTGCTAAGAGAAAATCACACACGACGTGAAAATCGGCGTCACAGGCGAACGCCTCACCCCTCTGCTGTATCCAGCTGAAAAAATGCAACTGCAAACCAACTTCGAAAAACTCTTTAAACATAGGATGACACAAGTTGGCCGAGGCGTGTGCTCGCGCTTAATAACTTAATCAATTATGATTGAATAGCTCTGACTTTGTCCTGTCTCAACAGCCTGTGCCAAATCAACCACTTTTATATAGTACAAATTACACCAAGGTTCGGTGACGTTTATGTCATCACCCATGCTCGAGCCAAAATGTGGAGATGCCGTCCAAAAGACTTTGCCAATTCTACTGTCGCATCTACCTTCAAAGCCCCAGATTTGGTTTCGACTCCCCACAAAAGAATGGGTCAGCGTGATTCAAGTTTGTTTGCACTTAGTATTTTGTCTTTTCCATTTTTTTGCCCCGCCCTTACTTAATTAAGTAGGCGCCTACTTAATTAGGTAAGGAGGTAAGCTACTAGCAATAGGAAGTTCCTAGCTAGGACGAGGATAGCTCACGCTCGCACTGATGATTTGGTTCCTAGATTTCTTGGGAAACTAAGTTTAGTCTTACTCCACTTTTAGAGGTCTCAGAAACTCCAGCCAACCGCGCAGCAGCAACTCCACTGTGCAAAGCGAGCTGCTGGGAAGAGGGGGGTCTTCGTTGTCAGATGCAGGAAGCAGCTGATCCAAATCCTGAGAATGAGAACTGTCTTCTACATTTGTACATCAACTTGACATCGTCAAGAAGTCTGAGCTTGGACACAAAAGAGTCTTGATCGGAACCGTCTGAGGAGTCCAAACCTCACGAATGGAAGGAGCGATATTATGTTTTTCAGGCCATTAAAAAAGTGACCATATGTTGTGACCTTTATCATCGACCGTTACAAGTGCGGCTTTTCGTTCACCTCTTACACAGCATTCTACCCGCTTGGAAGTGCCTTGAATGCCAATCGGTTTCCACAAAATTGCAAAGGCCGGCCAAGCTCGGGGACCTCCAAATCCTAGACTGTGTTATATTTTGTATCCTCATGCATTACAGTCACAAAATGTTGGCCTTTATGTTACGACTCCCTGTCCTTCCAAAGACTTTTCGCGACGTTTCAACAGTCCGCAAAGCTTTATTCTCTGGCGATGTAAGCGATGTTTTGGGGCCGGTGTCATGTTTTTGCCTCCGGGACGGAAACCGAACGTGTAGTCGTGCTTATTTGTACAGTACAAACCACACGTGTGCCATCTTTTGGCACTTTTTCCGACCCGGTGCGCGTGTAAGTCAACGTTATGTATATGATAAAAATGATGATGATGATGACGAGGATGAACTGATGAAATTGTTGATGAGTTGTTGATCTGGTCTGCTTTTAAAAAAGTTGATAAGTTGATTTCGAAAAATATTGCATAGGTGCTGACTAGGTGCTGACAGACAGGCAAACCCTCGTTACTCCACTCCACCACTAATAAGGTTGAAGTTGATAAGTTTTAAGTTGTTATTCAGAAGCCTCGATCCTAATAGCAATGGCCTCATTTGCAAAGAGTCAGATTTAATAGCTGGAACCCTGAGGTGAACACCATCTTGGATGGTCTGTGGCTGTTGGAAACAGATAAATATCAAGTAGTCACGACGTACAGCATCACTTGGTGGGCCCGGCAATCAGAAAAAATATTTGATGCTTTTAAGGAAAACTGTGATCTACCAAGTGGCGAGCGTCGCAAGCCCTTACAACCATCACTACCGCTAGCGATTGCTCTAGTGGGATTTTGATTTCGCTGGAGCACCCTCAAAGTAGCGACGGTCGCAGTCACTTGTTGCGAAGGACAGTCTTTTGAACCAGGTCCAGTGAAATCATGACCCTGCTGTGCGTCTCACTACCGCTAGCGATGGTTCTACCACGCAACCTGGTAGATCACAGCTTTCCTTAAAAGCACCAAATATGTTTTGTCCGGATCAGTGGCTCTGTGGGTACCTCCGGAGGTTGTCACCTGCGGTTGAAGTGGATGGAGCGGAATGGAGTGGGGTGGAGTCCAAGCTCCAAAGTGATTGTTATTATTATAAGGTCCTGACTGGTGGGGTCTTTGAAAAGATATTTGAGAGATGTGACCCAATTGAATTGGGAATGGTGGAGTGTGGTGGAGTGGGCTGGACTGGACTGGATTGGAGTAACGAGGGTTTGCCTGTCTGTCAGCACCTATGCAGTATTTTTTGGAAATCAACTTATCAACTTCTCTAAAAGCAGACCAGTGATGTGACGACAGAAGATACTACGCGAGGTTCGAGGGGGGGCTGGTTTCGTTCGTGTAATGAGTAGAATACGATGCTGATGCGTTGAGGATGCGACGACAAAAGTACTACGCGAGGTTCGGGGGGGGCTGGTTTCGTTCGTGTAATGAAGTGAATACGACGCTGATGCGTTGAGGATGTGACGACAGAAGATACTACGCGAGGTTCGGGGGAGGTTTGGGGGGGGGCTGGTTTCGGTCGTGTAATGAGTAGAATACGACGCTGATGCGTTGAGGATGTGACGACAGAAGATACTACGCGAGGTTCGGGGGAGGTTTTGGGGGGGGCTGGTTTCGGTCGTGTATAATGCGTAGAATGCGACGCTGATGCGTTGAGGATGTGACGACAGAAGATACCACGCGAGGTTCGGGGGAGGTTTTGGGGGGGGGCTGGTTTCGTTCGTGTAATGAGTAGAACACGATTCGTGCTTGGCAATGGCGGTTCCTGAACACAGGTTCGAAGGACCTGATGTCCGAACGGGCACAACAACTCTCCGACTGGGCGTGAAAAAGGCCGCCCAAGAACATGCGAGTTTTCGGCGTCGAAACGATGCCCTCTACTTAGAAAAATGAGTATATAGCTTTTACTAGCCTTTACTGCAAGACCCAGGGTTTTCTAGGGCAACCTGTGAGGCTCCGTGCATCAATGACAATTCGAGACATAAGACACGTGAGAAAGGGGGGGGTGGACGAAAGGTTGGTAAGCAATCGGAGGTCAGCGGCAGCAGCTGCAGCAGCAACCC